GAAATTAAATGTATTACCTTTTCGAGTGGTACATGTGTTTGTGAATCAAGTTATTTACAAAAATCTCAGAGACGGGAAAGGCTCGATAACGTGTATTAAATTAATCATAATACATATTAAATAGCAAAAAATATCCTCTTATCACACACTGAATAAAAAAAAAACCATTGGACGGATATATGTATACATATCTATGAAGTTGTTAAAAAACATGCTGTCTCCGCCTGATTTTCCCGCGAAATGTCATATTTTTTAACCAATCAAATGTTACTGAAAGGTATTCCCATTTACGAAATAGTATCTACTTCCTTTATTCCTTTTCTGAGGTTTGCAGTAAACTGTGTTTGGAGCGAAATTTAAATACATAGAATGGATGTTACGTCATTTCAGGTGAATTATCCGAAATTGAGACATAGTTAAAGTAAGTACTTGACGGAAATGACTGTGTCCGTTGATTTCAAGAGGGCGATCATGACGAATCTTGTTATTATTATGGTATGAGGGTATTTTTATCAACGAATATCTAGAAAGGTTTAAAATGTCAAGAGTCTGCATGTGCTTCAGACAAAGGTATTTTTTTCAATGTAGGCATCCACTTCAACAAGTGATTTTATGTGCACTTTTCTTGATAATGATAATCTTTTGTCAACACTATCTTGGCTACCTTTTTTGGTGTGATACATTTGCCATGCCTCTAATACACAATATTGAGATTACCTTTTCATTTAACAAGCATGCACATGATATATGTCCTTACTTCTTATATTAAGATTTTTAAAACACTGTTATTTGTCTTGAAAATTCTGAGAGTAAATTTATTTGTAAAACAATCAAGCGTTGGAGTAAACGTTACAATTTAGACTAAATAGAAATAAAATTGGTGTTATAAGTAGTTATCATATTTTCAGCATTTGTGATTTTCATAGAATATGTAACCTTTACACAACCACAGCTTCTTAGCATAAAGCAATTACAATATTTTGTTTTCCTTACTTAATATATTCTGATTTATAACCATTTAAGGACCTTCAATGTCATGTCATAATAACTTCTTTCAAATGTTATCCATGACATTGCATGTACTGTACATGCCACATTTAATCCTACCTTTTGTTTGAGATAAAAAAGCAACAAATATGTTTAAATATTTTTCTCTAGCTTTCCATTAAAAACATGATGTTTTGATCAAAGTCTTCATACTGTACGGTAATGAAATACATGTATTTCGACCCCCCCTCCCCCAACCAAACACGCACATACACAAAAAAGGACGGAACGTTTATTATTTATCATGTTTATATTATTATAGGTATTGATTGCTTAAACTAGACAAACTTTTTTGACAAGCCTTTACTTGTCTTCTTTTAGATACAGTATATAGAGAGAAATTAGAGTGAACAATTATGGAAACTATCCATGTTTTATGAACATATGAATTAATATCACAAATAAAAACAAGAGGCACAAGGGCCTTAACGGTCATCTGAGTATACTGTAACGATCCATAGATAAAACAAAATAAGCTGATAACTAAAGCTATGTTGCCAAAAAGCAAGAGAAATAGGATGATCAGGGATCAGCAAAAAATTAATTTAGTACTCATTAACAAATCTTATAGTCGATCTATTTATTTGCCTGTACTTTCCCTCATTTGTCACTATCCTCATGCGGACTAAACAAAATAATAGTTCTGGAGCACTATTAGTTAACACATTTTCATTCCCCCTTGCATTTGCCTCTCTTAGTCTTTGAAGATTATTTATTGTACAAAGATACGGTATTTTTGTCCCATTTTCATTTATCTATTATTTAAAAGTTTACCTGTCTGATTAAACCTATGAAAGTACTTTTGTATTAAATATAATAAAATTTCTTGTATAATTCTGCTATTCAATTGACCTTTTAAATTATATTATTTACAGTGATTAACTATTATAGGTTAATAGCAAGAGAAATAACTTCTTTCAGTAGGAATTAATAAATTGACCAAAGGGTACAGAATTTCAAAATCTGGTAAAACACCTTGCTTATCAAAACTTTATATACTCTATTTGCCTCCTAGATGCCCAAGAGCAGAGAAGAAGATTTTCAAGGAAATAATCCATTTTCAATATTGATTCAATATAGCCCCACATACCAAAGCCCCTGACCCAGGGGCCAAGATATTCATAATCTTGGAAGAGGCGGCACTCTTGCTCATCATAACCATGCACTTAGTATGTTTCCTTAATGGGCGGAGAAGAAGAGTTTCAAAGAAATAATGCATTTCTAATATATATTTAAAGGAGCCTCACCCTAACACCATAATCCTTGACCCCGGAATAATGAATTTCAAACTTTTTGAAAAGATTCTCTTGCTTGTCATAACCATGTCAATAGTTTTTCTGTTCAATACCAGGGGCAGAGAAGATTTTTTTTTTTTTTTTTTAAAAATGCATTTCCACTAATTTAAAATATAAAATAGCCCCCCCCCCCCGACATGATCCCCTGACCCTGGGGCCACAAATTTCACAATTTTAGAAGAGGCATCCTTGATCATCAAACCATGCACTTAGTTTATCTGCTAGATACCCAGGAGTAGAGACGATTTTCAAAAAAATAATGCAATTTCACTATATAACCAATAGAGCACCGCACTTAAACCGGAATCCCTAATCCAGGGGCCAAGAAATTCACAATTTTGGAAGAGTTGCCCTTGCTCATTTTAACTCTATACTTGGTTTATCTGCTAAATACCCAGGGGCAGAGAAGAAGATTTCCAAAGAAATAATGCACTTTCACTATATCAATAGAGCCCCCCCCCCTTTCCCGGATAACCCCTCACCCTGGGACCACCAATTTCATAATTTTGTAAGAAGCCCCTTTGATCATCATAACCATGCACCTAGTTTTATCTGCTTTATACACAGGGGGAGAGAAGAAGATTTTTACAGAATTAACGCATGTTCACTATATGATCAATAGAGCTCCGCCCTACACCAGAATCCCTGAGGCAGGGGCTAAGATATTCACAATTTTAGAAGAGGCGCCCTTGCTCATCATAACTATCACACGTGGTTTATCTGCTAACCACCTAACAGCAGAGAAGAAGATTTTTAAAGAAATAATGCACTTTCACTATAAATCGAGTCCCCCTCTATAGAACCCCTCATCCTTGGGCCCTTAATTTCACAATTTCGGAAGAGGCATCCTTGATCATCATAACCATGCACCTAATTTATCTGCTTTAAATATAGGGGGAGAGAAGAAGATTTTTTTTAAAAAAAAATATGCATTTTCCTTATAAGATCAAAAAAGCTCCACCCTAACACTAGAACCCCTGACCCAGGGGCCATGAAATTCACAATTTTGAAAGAGGCAACCTTCCTTATCATAACTATGTACTTAGTTCATCGGCTTAATACCCATGAGCAGAGAAGATTTTTTAAAGAAATAATGCATTTTCACTGTATATTCAACAGAGCCCCAACCTAGCACCAGTACATCTGACCTGGGGCTATGAATTTCACAATTTCGGTAGAGGACTCAATGCGACATGATTTTTACAATCGTGTCAACAGTTTAACTGCTTGATGTCCAGGAGTAAAGACGATTTTTAAAGATTGCATTAATCCACCCTTCAGGACCGGGGGGGGGGGGGGGGCATAAATTTCAAAATAATTTACTTCCCTTCTCCCATAGATGTTATATGCCAAAAATAATTGAAATTGGTTCAGGTCTTTCATAGAAGAAGTTGAAAATGCACAAATGTAAATCCACGACGCACGTCGCACGACGCATGACGACGGACGAAAAGAGATGGCAATAGGTCAACTGAGTGACTCAGATGACCTAAAAATCAATTAAATTTAAACAGGTTGTAAGATTTCTCTGCTGTTCAATATTTTGCAGAATATTTTAAATTAAATAATGAAACTTTCGAGAATTAAGGAGGACCCCTTTAATTAAAAGAGTATTGGCCTGATCTAAAATTAATTTCCTTGAATGCAGTTTTATATTAAAATGTACTCGAAGTTCAATGTATCTTATATACATATATAACATACAACAATGGAGCTTTGTTCATGTAATGAAATGCTTTATGTCGGATATACCTGCCGACTATCTATATTGAATCTAGTGCGCCCAGTTTCTTTCATATGTTTTATTGTGTTGAATTTCATATTCATTATTTAAAAACTATAGTCTCTATAGAAGAAACAAACAAAAAATAAAATTAAAAAACAAAGAACAACAACACTGTTTTGAATAACTGAAAGCTTATAAAAATGTAAAGGGAGGTTTACAAGGAATGTACCCTTAACATACATTTTCGATTTTGGACAGTAGCTGTGGTTTATTTAAAACACAAGGTCAAATATGAGGTTCAGAACATGTAAAGAATCGGAATATGAATTCTTAATTAGCATACATACAGTTCTTGTATATAAACATATTTGATACTTCAAAAATTGACATGAGAGCTTTTGAGTAATTACATAAAATGATTTGTATCTTTACAGTGCCTTTCTTAGATCTGATCTATAATTCATTAATATATTGCATGTACTAATATCTGATATAATAACCTTTATTAAAAATTGCAAAATTATTTGAAAGCATAATATCAAAATAGGTCAAGTGTGAGTTTCAGAACAAGGAAAGATAACCCTGCATACGACAATATACATCGGAATACATGAATGAATTTCTTAATTATCATATATACAGTTCATGTATATAAACATATTTAAAACTTGGAAAAATGAAATGAGAGCTTTTGAATTATTAAAAAAAAATAATTTATCTCTTTACAGTGATCCCTTTATATCAAAATTTTTTAGAATACACAAGTTTATGCAATAATCCTTTCACATATATGAAATCTACAAAAAATTATTCTAATACAGTTAACATAATGTTGTCATTATTTTGTCTCTAAATAGAGATTGAATTGGAGATGTAATTTTTTTCTCTGTCAAGTATAAATTGAAAGTACTTTTAAAAATGAGCAAAAGTATTTTAAAAACTGCCAAAACACATAACAATTCATTATCTCTACACATAATTGATATTGAAAATCCCATTCAAAGTTAATGTTTTGAGTTTTACATAAACATTTCATAAAACGATAGAAATTTAAACTAAAAAATAAAATTTTCATATCTAGATTCGAAATCTGCAACCTGTGCAGCAAGGTAGAATTTTATGTCATTCTCCTTTCACTGGTCATAGAAGGAAGGCACAGTGTTTGCTTCTTCGTCCTCATATCCTCTGTTTGTATATACCTGTTGTGGAGCCTCGTCCTTTCTGTCATCGTTTTCAAATACGCTTTCGTCGTTAATTTGACGCACATGTACGGACGTATCTACAAAGAGATGAATTCCTTTTAAAAAGCTCGCAGCATTTTACTAGTACTTGATTATATATTTGAAATTAAAACTCAACATTTGATAGGCCATTTGTAGAAAATTTACGTTGATTATAAAAAAAACACACACAAACACAAAATTAAAAGAAAAAACAAGAACAATACCCCTCTTTACTATTCGGCGTCGCATTACTCCAAATATAACAAATATAGCCAAAGAAGCAATCAGAACTAAAATCGCAAGAACAGTAATGGATATAACGCCTGCAGTTGATATACTTGATTTTTCTTTTAGAGACTGCTGGGTAGCGAAAACAGGCGCCTGTTGCAAATCACAAGGATATCGTTGAACGGACATGAGAAGCAAGCTATCTAATGCTGGCATATTCTGCTCGTACATTATCTTATTCATGGCCATCACATCAGTTATGATAGTTATGGAGCTTAGTGAAGAGGATATCCGAGTATTCTGAAACTTCAGCCCTTCAACTTCGTCAGAGGTCATCAGATAATTTTGGATATATCCCTCGTCCACTCTGCATCTTCTTGCATTTGGATTAATAATTATATCTTTTCTGTAATTCACCTTGAGGAATGGTTTTTCCATTTCCTCAAAAATTCTATCAAAATTAGATCCATTTTGTTGCGCTGTAACAACTCTTAGGAATGGATACCTCTGGAGTTGGTTCTCGCTGCGTCTTAGCTCCCATTCCTCGGCATAGGTATCCTGTGACTTCTCTTCCAAAAGAGCACTGGGGCAACCTCGTATTAGGATGCTTTCAACATTTTGTGCAAAAGCTGCAACATCCCCTACAAATACTTTAATGGCAGATAAGTACATTTTTGGGAACGTAATGTTAATAGCCTTTGTGCTTCCTCTATTGGGATCTCGAATAATGTCCTGCAGTTGTTGAAAACTTGAACTGTTTCTACTGATATATTCTACTCTAAAGTTATTTGCTTGGAATTCAATTTTGGTCCTGATTACAATGTTAGTAATCATAACATCTACAGCAAAAGATACAAAGTAACTGTTATTCAGATTGATTCTCACGCCAAGTCTGTTATTGTCAGGGAAAATGATACCATTGCAGTCTGAAAATGAAAAGAAAACAACGTGCACCTGAAGCTTAGCTGGAAATAGAATAGGATATTTCATTTAAACATTTTAATTTTGACATTTGTTCATTACTCTTATCATCTGAGACCTGATTTTATCTTGTGTGGTGCAGGTTCTTTTTCTTCTATAGTGATCAATTGGTTTTTATTGGACAGCAGATGCGACACTGGTTTACCCCAAAACTTCTTTCTATCAATAGCAGAAACCACCTCTACAAATACAATGTCCTGACGTCTGACGATACTTCCGGCTGGGTGATTCTTACTACGGAATGAAAACTGGGCTGGGTATATGTCAATTTCTGAAAAAAGAAACCATCTTTTTTAATCATGGGGGTAATTTAGTATAATATTGTATAAATGAAAAAAGAATCATAGAAATTAAAGCGATATAAAAGCAACCTACACTCTAATAGTTATTACCGTGGTTTTCTCAATAAAATCAAAAATTGTGTCAGTAAACGTTTGATAGGATATTTTTGAATGGCTTGACTCAGATCGACGTAATTAAACATAATCAAAGCAATTTTAGTATTCTTTTTCATCTGTAATCAATTTAACAAGCTAATTCAGAGAATTTGTGTCCCTCTGCTTAGGGAAAAAAAACAAAGAACATGTGCAGTTCGGGGGGAGGATGACCCCCCCCCCCCCCCGGATTTGTAGAATTATTAAATGTATACATGTATATAAAGCAAATAAAAAATGCCAATATGGATATAAAGATTTAATTGCTTATTCTTTAATATGTGTATAGAAGATTCTTTTTAATAAATAGAATATTTATCACTTTGTAATAATGATTTTATGAGTTTGTACACGCCAGACGTCATAACTTTTTCATTTCACATGTTGAATAGTATCAATTATTTAGTAAATAAAAAAAAAGAAATTTAAAAAAAGGATCATCCGGGATTTGAACCCGGTACCTCTTTCTTGCTAAGTAAGCATCATACCCCTAGACCAAAGAGGCACTTGATTTTTGTAAATTAAATGCAAACATTAGGTCGCATATAATGTTTATATTCACGTTCGATATTGTCAAAATTTTACACAATACATGGTGTCTAATTTAGCCTTTACTAAACAGTTCTTATTGATGTAATTAGAATATAAAGTCCGCCAACAACCTGTATTATACGTAATAACTCTCCACATGCCCCTGTGCTAAAAATAGTACCAAGCGACTTTTATTACAATTAAAAAAAAACGGGACGGGACACTTTGAGAGGGGCAAGAGAGGCCATAGGGAGTTATGGTATAAAATTTCATTGTAAAAGCTCAAACGCTTCTTGAGATATCGCCCGGAAACGAAAGTGTTACACACAGACGGACTGTATGAATTTACGACCTTGAACTTTGACCTTTTGACCTCAAAATCTATAGGTTCTAAGGCCACAGGGAGATTTATGTAAAATTTCATTGCAAAAGCTCAAAGGATTCTCGAATTATCGCGCGGAAACGAAAGTGTTATAAAACAGACAGAATTTATGACCTTGACCTTTGACATTTTGACCTCAAAATAAATAGAGTTCTTCTATAGACCATATTGAGTTGCTATGCAAAATTTTATTGCGAAAGCTCAAAGAGTTCTCGAGATATCGAGCGGAAACGAAAGTGTTACAGACAGACAGAAATACAGACGGACGGACAGACAGACCCAAATTAATATCCCCCACTTTCAGTGAAAGCAGGGGGGGGGGGCAAATATTCAATTGAAATTGACTCTACTCCAAATACGAGGGGTTATCAAAAAGTTCGTGGACTAGCCCCATGAAATTAAAACCGCTTAAGGTATATCAATGAATTTTTAAACATTTATTTTTCATCTTTTTCATTTATATAAAAAAACTATAAATCATAAGGTTTATTACTTAATGAGGCGCAACCTCGAAGATGACCTTTTTTCTACACGAATGTAACCGAGAAAAACCTTTTTTGATTTGAGAATTTTTCATCCAAAAATCCTGTTATTTCACTCACGTGGTATGACACAATTGTTCCGTAAAATTTGCAATTTTTACCCAATTCCATAGGTTCTATAAATTTTTATCGTAAATTTTATATGAAATATCAAAACAATTAAGGGGCTGTAATGACGTCAAAAAGGGGAGGGTTTTTTTTTCCAACATTATATAAAGTTGCACTCTTGGAAAAAATGTTTTAATGGGCTACAGAGAAATAAAATGCATTCAGAGTACTTTTTAAATGCCAAAAAAAAAAAAAAAAAAAAAAAAAAAAAAAAAAAAAAGAAGAGAGATTAAAGATGCACAGTTGTCGATTTGTAGTCAGAGTGTTTTAGGTTTGTCACGTCGAAAAGTGACTTTGATAATGTGTGTTAGAAACTGAACTTCGAAAAGCAAATGGTGTTGTTATAATCAAGTGAGGATCTTTCACTATGTTAGATCCAATTACAATATTATGCGTTGAAATCGACGGCGTATTATCAATTAACAATTGTTACTTTCATTCATACAGTATGTATGTCGACTCGATATATCCCAGTGAACTTGAAATAAAAGATACCACAGATTCTGACACATCATATCTGTTTCATATTTAGATATTTTACTAGAAAAAGACGTTAATGGTAACCTAAGAACAACGCTCTATGATAAACGTGATGACTTCAACTTTCCAATCGTCAAACTTCCCCTACATATGTAGAAATATACCCTTATCACCTGCATATGGTGTTTATGTCTCTCAGTTGATTCGATACGCAAGAGCATGCTCTACGTATGAACAATTTCTAAAACGAGGCAAGCTATTGACAAACAAGTTGACGAAACAAGAATATCAACAGTCTCGTTTGAAGTCATCTTTTCGCAAGTGTTTCGGTCGATACATTGACCTTGTCAGCAAATACAACCTATTTTTGAGTCAAATGCTGAGTGACGTTTTTCATACTAATTGTTAGGCCATTATTTATACACTGAACTGTCTACGGATTTTTCCGGATTTTGTTTCCCGATCATGACAAGGAGGACACGGCGGGTGTGACTGGTCGGCAGGGGATGCTCACTCCTCCATGGCACCTGATCCCACCTTTATATTTTGAGGTTGGTGTTTGCTTTGCTCCAAATTTGTATCGTTTCATTGGACTTTCGAGATTGAATACTGTTCGTTTTCTTTATATTTCATTGTTCATAACATTGTAAAGTCATATAAACAATACGGATTTAAGTCTTTACTTAACTCTAGGGAATCTCATCAAAATAAGTATGAGGTAGAAGGAGTAGGCATTGAGAAACATTGACGCTATCGGACGTCATGAAGCTAAACGGCGACAGCGCCGGGTGATCATATAATGTCTTTTTATCTTACGATAATTTGGAAAATTATCGACGTATCAAGCTAAAATTTTCAACACTTCTTTAACTTTTGTTGTTTTATGTTCCTTAAAAATTTTGTGTGCGCAGACTACCTAGTATTAATTTATCAAGTCAGTCCACGAAGTTTTAGATAACCCCTCGTAATTATGAATTTTTAGGAATTTATTTTATTTTTGTTTTCATGCATTCGAATATGTTATCTGAAACATTCCCTAAATTTTGAAAATAAAGTATAATTTTATATAAATCTTTCTACATAAATAGATTGACCAGGTGGAGTAACCTTTGACCTATAATTCAGGAGATAATACTCATTTTTCAAAGGCGCCTGGCGTTTTCTACATTTCTATTCTTATCACAGAAATATAACCCAAACCTGTGATTTTTAAAGAAAAAATTATATTTGGTAAAAAAAAAAAAAAATAAGAGAGAGAGAGAGAGAGAGAGAGAGAGAGAGAGAGAGAAAATAACGTTAAGTGCCTGTGTCACTCTTATATGAGTTTGATGCTTATGAAAAAAAAGCCAAGCCCGCTCAATATTGAATTCTAAACGAGTTTCAAAGCATATCTTAAGTCAAAGAAAAGATGTTTGTTTTTTAACATCCCTTCGAGAATTTTCACTCATATTGAGGCGCCACCACTTGCCAGTGGAGGGTTGCAAATTTAGACCTGTATTCGGCATACTCGGCATTAGGGCCTTTGAGCAGTAAATGATTTTTTTCATGCTAGCATATACAGCGGATAGAACCTCGGTTTATACGGTCTCATCATTACTGAGAATATTTTTTTTAAAAAAGATTTTTATGACCTGGCAGTTTCTTGATTCTATGTCTCAAATCTTGAATATGAACCTAAAATGACTAAGTCAAAAAAGTTCAACCCCCCCCCCCCCCCAAAAAAAAAACACGTAACATGAAGAAAGATTATCAAAACATGATATCGTTATATAATGAATATAGTGAGCGTACAAATTTTCAGACAAATACATGCAATAGTCTCCAAGGACAGGTACGGACAAAATCATGCCTACAGACAGATAGATGGTCAGACATACAGACAGCTAGTCAAACAGACAGACGGGAAAGCTGATTCCAATAATTACACACCTAAACTTTATTTTCAGGAGTATAATGAACAGTAAGTCTCCATGTTAGTGCTCAAAATGTATCTGGGGTCGATCGGGGATCGATGGAAATATTCGTCAGAATGTTTCGTTTTGCGTCAAGTTAAAAAAGAACTTTTTAAATGTCATATTAACATCAATGAAAGTATATTATTAAAGGTTGTTAATACTTTCAATTACCGACTGGCATAGTTTCTGGTGTGTTCATTTGAATTGTTTTTTCATATCCCGTTATGTTTAATCCCTCTTGCTTGTATTTGAAGATTTCACGATTATCGCTGGTTCGAATCTGAAAACCAGTGATAGCTTCCAATCCTTCTGTTCCCTACAGAAAAACATAAAACATCATTTATATACCACTCATAAAACATTAGTATATACCACTCATAAAACATCATTTATATACCACTCATCAAACATCATTTATATACCACTCATAAAACATTAATTATATACCACTCATCAAACATCATTTATATACCACTCATCAAACATCATTTATATACCACTCATCAAACATCAAACATCATTTATATACCACTCATCAAACATTAGTTATGTACCACTCATCAAACATCATTTATATACCACTCATCAAACATCATTTATATACCACTCATCAAATATTTCAATTAGACTACATACAGTGTTAATGATGTGGAATTTACATACCATGAAAGTAACACTCTGTATCGCTCCAATCCCCTTATCAGTAAAGGCACTATGAGACCATCTTCCATTCAGTCGAGGCTGGCAATTATTTTTCATGTCAAACTTGGCTGTTCTTTCTGTTCCCTCTATATTTACTTGGTATTGTAATGATGATGGTCTAATGCACTTTAGTTTCAAGCTTACCAAAAATGGTCGCTCTGAAATGGAAATTGAATTCCGTTAAGATTTTCTCTTTTCTTAGTTGCGGGTCCTTTGGATGAGACCTTAAAAACCGAAGCCCAGTGTCACGGCAGGCGTTGGCACGATAAAGATCCCTCACTGCTCAATGGCCCTGAGTGCCGAGTAAAGGTCAAAATTTGAAGCCTTTCACCGGTATATGGTGACGTCTTTATATGAGTGAAAAATTCTCGAATGGGACGTTAAACAATATACAATCAATCAATCTTAACACCATTATTTTATACATCTTAAAATGCATTGAAAATATTTTCGAAAAGCCAAGAAACTATTTTTTTTTTTTGAAAATGCGAGTTTTAAACATATGGTATTTATACACTATCTGACTGTCTTAAACATAATACACAAGTATGAGGAAGTTAGGTTCATCTCCTTTTGACCTATTATCATGCCGTCTACTTCCCGACTGGTTTCAGAGAAATTCCTTTCAAATTCAATTCCCTTAATATTCTATTTATTCAAAGCCATTATAAAATAGAATGATACAACAGATATATATACAGAGAGGACATTTTTGTTTCTTGATTTACTGCAGAAATTAAACGTTCTATAAATCATTAGGACAGCCCTAGAAATTAACTACAACTAAAGAACAACGATTTTTAAGAAAAGCAATAAGTTCAACAGCTTCTTACCTTTGTCTGCTTTTAAGAATATAGAAAAGTCTGTGAGATCTCCGCTTGCCATAAATCTGTATTAAATGAAATGAAACTTGAAATAAATATAATTGAAAATAGTTCTTAACATCTGATTCAAAATGAAATATAAATGAATAATACTTTTATAGCTCTTTAACTGCATGTACAATTTTTAACGTTTTGCCTCAAAACCTTCATTTCCAAGTGAACAGAGCGACTTTCCATGCATATTTGTACCATTGAAATTATAGATAAACTTACTTTCTTTGATCTTTTCCTTCAAACGCAGTTTCAAGTTTACTCTCTGAAGCTTCACTGACATCTTTAATGAACTGTCTTCCGATGAACATATCTTCTCCCTTTTAGAGATTTGTTTTGTGCTTTACCCTTTTCTTTTACCGTAATATAAAAATCATACATATCCCAAAAGTATTATTATGTATTAGTAAAATTTCAAACCAACATTATGTAATATATATCTAGTATCAAATTGGTGCGTATTAACCTTATCTCTTGGATGGATACGGGACTAAAGATAATCGGTAGAAAACAACTAACCTGGATATCTTGTGAGTGAGAAAGACTGACCCTAACCATTCGATAAGCTTGGAAGATTTTACCCTAAAAATCTTTGGTTGGTGTGATCGAAACTAACACTTTTTAGTCGAATTATGTGCCAGGACTAATCCTATGTATCTTGGGTGGGCGAAAAGTTATCCAATAATAAGTCAAGCAGCGTACAAGGACTAATCCTTATCAGTCGATTGATGTGCAAGAACTAATCCTAATATCCCAGTCAATTTGTATACAACAACTAGTCCTAAATTATTGACCTTTGAAAGCTGGACAAAGGCATCATTGATTGACATCGGGATATTGTGAGGTCTTAATTATTTATTTCTCAACACCATCTGACTCCTGCGCGACAGACCATCACAGTTTATGGAGCAGTACATTTTGTAGGAAAAGAGTGATCAGATTCTAGGGTGACCATCGGATTCAAGCGTCTGTAACAATACCAAACCATGGGGCAGTAAAGCGCGACCATCGGACTTTTGAGTGTTTTGTATTTAGAAAAGTCTGAAATAATTTGCAAAATTTTATAAGTATGCCTTGGTAGTTTCTTGTTCTGTTTTTATCTACAACACTGCACTGTTCACACCGGTATGGGATGACAATTCCCATTGCATTTTACGTAATAAGCATTATTTATTTTATTATATTGAACGATGTGCTCAGGTTGTCGTAAAATGCTTTGGTATTTTTGTTTTACAATTGGAGTTAAATGGATGGAAAATTCAAAAAGGCCTTTGTTTTTATAGTGAATTTGACCACGGAAAGTCCCGACTACCTATTCAGAACATAGGGCTCAAAACGATGTACAAGGGAAGCTTACTCCTCTCAGGCCTCTAATCCCACCTCTGACATTTCCAGGGGTCCGTATTTTATGTCCTCTTGCATATTTGTATTGTTTATAGATTTTTTGAGATGGATCACGGTTCGTTATTTTCACCTTTTACATATTAAGATTTTGTATTAAAAAACAAACAAACAAAAAACAAAACAAAACAAAACAAAAACAAAAAACAAAAAAACTAACCTCCAAGGAGGCGAGTTTGAAACTCTGACCATACGCCAACGGAGTTCCCAATGTTGTAGAATCCCCTTCAATCGATTTTATTTGAAAAAGTCCGTCATAATTTGTAATGCTATCAACTGAAAAAATGAAATAAAATTTGCTTGAATACCATGATAAAAAATATAATAAAAAATGAATTCTCATATTTGACTGATACCATGAAGTTTATTGATCACAATGTACGAAAAAAGCATTCAACATAACTAAATCCTTTCAAATAGTTCGAATCGTTATTATGCAAATTTTTCGACTTTTGTATCCATACCTGGTACCAAGGGTTTGGTAACGACTCCGTTTAGGTAGCCCGTCGAATTGGACAACGCTAAAAATTTCCTCGTCTTAATATTCTCAACAGTGAAAAAATCACCAAACCTTGTAATTTATTATAATAAAACATATAATTATATAAAATATTTTGTGATACATTAATTTTACATTACATTGAAGAAAAAGTTTCATGTCATACAGGAACATTGTGTTTTAAAAGAACAGCTTTTTATCTTAAAAGGTATATGGCTGAGGAAGACCTTAAAGGCAGAGATTTTAAGGACCGCCTTCAAAAATACCTGGTCTGGGTACCCCTGTCAATCAAGTGCATTAAGGTACATCACTGGGTGCTAGAACTTGATTGACATTTACTTTCTAGTCCCTATGTATACCCTGTACACCTTGTTTGGCACTCGTGGTGACCTTCATATTAACTTTTGATCCTTTGATATTTACCACACATGGTATAAACAATAGAGGAGCTGTATTACTATGGAATTTTTAGCTTTATAATATATAACTTATCAACGTATATATATATATTTATGTCTCCCCCTTCCTATACCTCCACACAACATAAACACCATTTATGTTGAAAATGTATTTTATTGATCAAATAAATCTTGATCAACCATCTGAACATGTAATAGGAACAAATAAAAATATCTACCAAAAACATTCCTAAGACGTATATATATATATATATATATATATATATATATATATATATATATATATATATATATATATATATATATATATATATATATATATATATATATATAATTATGATATTATTTATGAAAATATATATTAAAATTTGGTTTATCTTTTTTTCAAAGCTCAACAGATATTAAAATAATAATATATTTTTATTTGGTGGGAATGCTTTAACACACACTCAATTACAAATCAATGAAAATTATTGAGATTAAGCTTAATTTACAACTTTTTATTTCTAATTTAAAATCATCTCAAAATCCCAACACAGGTAAAGTTTGACTTCTTGGGTATTCTACTGTGTATTAAATCTCTTCCTGTGTATAGTGATTGGGAGACAAACGAGCACAGGTAGACTGGTAGCCCTCAAGGCATTCACACCTGTACAAAATAACCCCTTTCCTCACCTGGAATTTACCACCCGGTAAAAAATCTCTGCCTTTAAGTTTAATGTTTAAATTAAATGTTCTTTTTTTAATCCATGCCGTGGGAGTTTCATTTACATACTGTTTCAAAATAAATAATGTGTTGTTTTTTTTTGTTTTGTTTTGTTTTGTTTTTTTTTCTGAATTTCTTTATGCGTAAAAGGTAACCAGCATTTACTTACTTAATAACATCGATAGCATTGGTGACGTCAGTGGCTTGTCTTTTACGTCGTGTCCCCTGTGATATGTAGGAATCGTCAGGTGGGTTACAAAGGGAGGGGGACACCGTCTGGGTACAATAGGTATACAGGGCTTTACGCAAACATCGGCGTCGTTCAAACAAACCTGAAAAACAGCACATATATTCAGACAATTTAGATTAAACAATCTGGATTCTTTAAATTTTCAAGTCGTCTTCAGATTTATTATAATTTTGAAGGATGTTATGAGTTTTCTATAAGAATTAAAAACCGACACATATGGTAAATATTTTAATTAACAATTCTGACTAACATTCATATCATATGAAGCTAAAATCCTCTATATCGAATACGATTTAAAATATTTATTAAAAACGTTTAAAAAGGAAATCTTTTGCCAAAATCAATAATATCAAAACATACTACTTTTCACATTAAAACGCAACAAAAGCACCAAAATCTACTACTTTTTACATTTAAAAATATTCTAAACGGTAATTATAAATTAAAGGCTTTTGGCATTATGGACAACTGCTTCTTTAATAACGATATACATACAGAATTTTCATATTATGTATCAAATTTTGTTCATTCTATTTCTATATAATAAGTACTCTGAAGTTGACATTAAATAGCTTCTTGATTTCCTCATTGACAATAGGGTGTACATGTATTTGGAGACCGGTTTTTTTTTACCTACAACATTTTGGATTTCCTTAGGTCATAACATAGTCCCTTTAGAAGACTGTTTTTGTATTTTTATAAATGAAAATTACTAGTTCTCAAAAAATTTTACATAAAGGAAGAGGTATTATCCAGCTTTGTCCTTTAATTAGACACTAGAAAACAATGATGCCGTTTTATTAATGAAAAATATTTATTTCCATTCATATGTGTTTACGACATACGCTACTGAACTCTGAATAAAAGAAACCACAAAATCTGACACACCTGTTTATATTTGAATGTTTTACTAAAAAACAAACACTGATTGCAAACAAAAACCTGCACTATTTCATGAATGTGATAATTCAATGATAATTCAGCATGTTCTACATACGGTCAATTTCTCTGAAGCATCTGTTTATAGCTGGATGTTTTACTGGAGAAAATATATACTCCAAAAATTATAACTGAACTCTTAAATAAATGTGATAATTTAATTTTAATCGTCAGCAGGTTCTACATATGTTCAATTTCTACCACTGACAAATAAGTTGATGATACAAAGGTATCAACAATCTCGTTTTACTGCAACTTTTCGAAAACCTATGATCGAATCAATATCCTTGTTTGTAGACACAGTTTTGTCGATGGATCAAATGTCGATTTTCTTAACAAATTTACATACTGGAAGAAAACTACTTTTACCAAGACAAAGGGTTTACAGTGAGTATGGCCGGTCGACAAGGAATACCCATTCGTATAAGTCATTCCAGCCCCTCATTAATGTTTTAGGTGCCCGTGTTCGGTCTGCTCTAAATTTTATTTTTTAATTGATTACTGTTCATTATCCTAAAATATCATACCTTCACAGGAACAGCAAGGACTTAAAGCTGTATTTAGGAGAGGCATAGCAATTGCTTTTATAGGAAATAAGCACTCAAACTACTTGAAGCTACATTGAGGACATGTACTATAATTATATGAAGCATTGTTGAGCAGGGAAGCCAAATAAAGCTGTATTGAGGAAGGATACACTAGGTTTTTGAAGTTGCACTTGGAGACTGAGTGTGGAAGACAGGTGCGAAAAGTACTCAAAGATTATTAAAGACAGACTGAAGAAAGTATCAGAAACTTTTCAAACAAATGACGGGTACCAAAGCAACTAAAAAGTTTATCTGCATTATTCAGAGTTATATTGAGGGCCGTGCAGTAAAGTTAAAGAGAAGTCAGGTATATTATATATAGGGGACAGGTACGTTAAATAAAGAACAGATACATTTTAAAGATAATAGATACTTCAAATTGAGGATAGGTAGGTGATATCTTATTGAAGTTATATTTAGGATTAAACCTTAAATACTTGAGTATCAAAGACATCTAGTACTAAAATTTTATTGAGAATATAGTACGCATAAATGATGATGTATTGTGAGTGAGCGCATAAGTACTAAAACGAGCTAGCACGGAGAGGGTTGCGTTTTTTTTAAGAACTTGAAGTACATTAAGTAAGAGAAATGTGTATAAGTTGATCTTTTTAGTTATCGAAGTCGAATAAATTTGTTTTTAATATGATTATCAGCAGTCTGTTCTGATTATAATATTTTATTTATATACATAAATGAACATTTGGTTGTAAAAAAAAAATATTTTCCCTTTCCAAAATGACATTTTATGTTCAAAATTCCCAGTCTTGAAAATTGAAGCAATGAAGGATATTTAAATTAGAATTAAATGCGTATACTAACCATATGTGATGTCATTAAAATATCCAGGTTTCAACAGCGTATCAATAGACGTCATCTTATACTGAATTGGCACTGGTTTCTCATCGGCGGATCTTGCCCACTCTCTGAGACTCTCCGTACTTCCTTCTGAGAAATCTCCAGCTGGAGGGTTTCCTCCAATATAGTACTCATATTGTTCCTTGTTGGTGTTACTCACTTGTTGTTTTGCATCTTTTTTGGAATCAACGCCCACACTGAAGCCCCCACCAGCCGAGGCAGCGAAACCGCTGTATGAGGCCTGAACAGCAACCTGTGGTTCAAAAGTTTGAATTTCTTTTACAACCATGGTAATTCAGTATACATTCAAGGATAACGTTTAATCGATGTCGACAGGGGATGCTCACTCCTTCATGGCATTTGATACCACCTTTATTTTTTAGTTCCTTGTTTGCTCTGTTCCTGATGTGTATTACTTGAATGGACTTACGAGCTTAAATAATGTTCGTTATCTCCATATTTCATGCAGTTTTCTGAAGTATTTTTATTTTTCCCATTCAGCCATGCCCTGGGCCAAAAAATTCCATCTAGAATAAAGGGGTCTGGTAATTACATTGGATTGAATTTAGACTTATTATATTTGGTTACAGTATCCTATGACCATGAGTCTTGAACAAATATAGCCCTAATTGAATTGAATATAAAATCAACAAGCATTCTGAGAGTATTGCATTAGCAATACTAGTCCCCTACCGGCAAGTGTAATCTGGTTCCCATTAAAAATTGAAAATGCCATAATTCCGTCAAAAATCAATGAAGCGGACCGAAATGCAAACTTGATTTATAACTCAACAAGGTAAAGTCACACACCAAAAATCAGCTCAATATCTGAAGCGTTTAGAAAAAAAATGCGGAAAACCCTGGAAAATTGAAAAGGTCGTAATTCCGTCAAAAATCATTGACACGGAACGAAATGCAAACTCGATCTGTAACTCATCAAGATACACTCACATACCAAAAATCAGCTCAATATCTGCAAGCGTTTAGAAAAAAAAGTGCGGAAAACCAAGTGGGACAGACGGACAGACAGACAGCTAGACAGACGGACGGACGCACAGACTCAGAGGAAACCTATAGTCCCCTCCGGTTTCACCGGTAGGGGACTAATAACATTTCTGATTTAGCAGTTTCCTCTAAACTGGACTTAACTTATTTTTATCTTTAACCCGAAGCTATTGATTTTTTTTTTAAATGTAAATGTGCCGCGCTTCGATTTCTTTTGAATGAAGTTAAGATCAATTTAAAAGAATAACATATGTTATAATATACTGTTATTACAACTCCGAGCATTAGAATCATACATGCTAGTTTGTTTCATTACTCATATTCATCGCAAATTAAAGCTTTGAATACTTGTGAAGACATACGTATTCTAACTTTAGTTAAAACTAGAAATGAAATTTTAAATCAATTTCGAAACAGTTAGAGTTTTGAACTATATTTCATTGACCTTGGCAGATATTCCTTCCGATTCTAGTTTTGACAAATCAGAACTGGAGAATGTTAGTTGTTGTACTGCCTTAGCTCCCATGACCACCTCGACGGTGTAATGGGTTCCAAACTCCCGGATAAAGTTGAGGTACATGTCTTGCAGTGAATCATCCTCACAGTTCTCCATAGGGAGGAGCGTAATAGCTTTCTCAAAGTAATCAGAAACCTGAAATAGGAAGAAATCGTTACTAAGACAGACCAATGACAATTCTTGGATGTTGCTTTAAAAGATTTACCTCGGAGATTTACTGAAACACGAATTGAATCTTACAATGAGACATAATTTGTCTACAATGTTAAATGCATGTATTTTGGTGTTTTTGTACGATTAAATAAGAAAATAACTATCTTTTTATTAAGGATATGTGTCAAATCTAGAAAAAAAAATTAGTGGGGAAAAATGTAATATCAGATTTCTTGTAAATTGACTGATTGAAGTGTCAGACCGTCAAAATTGACACTGTATTTCATACTTGTAGAAGTTTCAAAACGGCAGGCATATAAATATTGCATTTCAAGTACTGTGTGTTATGAATAAAGCATTTATGGGTCTTTTACTTTGCTGTAATAATTTTAAAACAGTTGAAATTTAGAAACAAATCTTATTTCAAAGTCCTGTTAGCATTTTTTATTCTCTATTTCAACTACCGTTAACGGTAGCTCAGTCGGCAGAGCGCTCGCTTCGTGATCGGGAGGTCGTGAGTTCGAATCTCGGCCGCGACTTACTTAAGTCGATAAAAAATGGGTAGCAACTGTTCCTTCGCCATGCGTTCGGCACTTTGAAGTGAAAGTTGCTGGTCCTTCGGATGAGACCTTAAAAACCGAGGCCCCGTATCACGACAGGCGTTGGCACGATAAAGATCCTTCACTGTTCAATGGTCTTGAGTGCCGAGTAAAGGTCTAAATTTGAAGCCCTTCACCGGTATATGGTGACGTCCCTACATGAGTATAAAAATTCTCGAATGGGACGTAAAACAACACACAATCAATCAATCTATTTCAACTACCAGGATATAAACTATTTTTATACATTTTTGTTATTTACATTTCTTTGCATTTACGAATGTTGATTACAAGTTGTATGCAAATTATTAGAAATAAAAAACGCACACAAAACAAAACAAACACCATATTTTCTCTACCTTTGATATCTTGGATGTTTCAGACATCCGGGCTCTATATACGACAGCTCGGCTAACGATGCTTAAGGTGGTTTTCTCCCCTTTTTGAATTTGTTGCGTATTTTTTTGATAAGAAGTACTTGCACTGAAGCTGGCACTGACTCCCCATCCACTACCATGAGCGTTAACCTTTAAAAAACATGCATGTCTAAGGCAAAATTTATAGTCAAATCACATTGTACAGTAATTAAGATATTCATTGTAAGGGAATTCAATTTTATTTAAAAAAAATATCAATTTGAAAAATGAATTGAATTAAAACACAAAATACCAAATCTTTCATAGGCTAAAAGGAAAAAGAATTGATACTCAAAATAAAAAGGATATGGTGAGGCATAAGTTGCTAATTAATTTTTAGGCATACCTTTTGAATAAAATAAATTGAATAAAAACACAAAATACGAAATCTTTCATATCTGAAAAAAATTATACTCAAAATAAAAAAGATATCGTAAGAAATAAGTTGCTTACTAATTTTAGGCATACCTCTTTGAGCAAATGCTAGCATAAATTCATGTGATTGCATATATGCCTAAAATTTAGAAGCTTTTTGCCTTTATTGATGTTAAAAATTCATTGGTTTTATAATTCACATACACACCAACAGCGCAAAAAATTAATATATTATATGGTGTATATCATAGTATAAAAGATATAGTATCATATGAATTTAATAATGTTGTGCATATGACCATTTTCTTAAAAAAGAGTTTACAAATATAATATTTCGAAAGTACATTATGCAATTATTAAAATGTCGTTGCTCTTGCTTCGATTATTGTTCTCGGCGGCACGTCAAACCTAAAAAGTTAACATAGGTATAAACTGTTCCTTCGAAAAGAGACCTTAAAACCTGTTAAAATAGGCATTTGCACAATAAAGAACTTTTACTGTCTCGAAAGGTCTAAATTTAAAGCCCTTCACGTCTCATATATTCTTGCAAGAGACGTACAACAACAATCAATCAATCAATGCATGCGTGACACCTCGCTGTTCAGACCATTATGTACTTGACTGAATAACTCGCTTTTTTATGTTAAAAATTGCACGAAAAAAATTCCTAACTCCTAATTCCTAAAAATATACACAGTAAATGGTTAGAGCATACCGAAGCATCTACACTCAACATGCTTTTGTAGTCCGACTCCGACTGCACCTTATACAATGAGGACCCAAACCTAGCACTAAAAGTTAAAGAAAAACATTATAATTATTTTGAACAAAGATCTAGAATAATTCATAGAAAAAATGCATATGATTCTACAATAGGGTAATTATGACAAACATTAGTATTTACATTAACAACACATTCATAAAAAAATAAATATCTCTATTTTTACCATTTTCGTTTATCTAATGTTCCGAGAAATAGGGTTAACTTGTATCTTTTCATATCCATAGATTCATTTGTTCTTTGGTGGTATATACATTAATTCGTGTAATCTATTCTTCTCACTAGTCCTTTAGAATATCGAGTGCGAACAAGTAAGTAAACTAATTCTGTACCTTGTTTCTGCAATTACATCAACATTGTCTGGAATTCGATAATTTCCGTCTGCAGTGAACTTGTTGGAATATGGTAAATCAATTACTGGGAGGCGAAATCCTTGATCCACCACTCCGTCGTCGCTGAGAGGATTTCCTTTGAACAAATCGTATCCACGGCCTATGTATCCCAGGTTGTAACGGGATTCCGTGGTAAAAAACGGAGTCTGTGCTTCGACTGTGCCACTTAAAGCTAATGGAAATGATATAACAACAAAATAAGAAACAGTTTCATTTAGGGAGGTTTTACTGGAAAAAAAGTATCTCTCTCTCTCTTCAAATATAAGAACAAGACCTCTTGCTTTTCTTTCTTCTGCCTCTTGTACTTCCATTGCAGCCAATTTCTCGGGGAGTCTAGCGTGTAGACTAGCATTCATCATTCTTGTTGAAATTTGTAACTGCTGGAAACGAAATCCGCTCACCATTTCATCTAAAGACACTGAAAATTGTCATCAATAAACATTATTTCAATTAAATTATTCTACTGGTGACTTAGCAAAGCAACCAATAATCAGGCAGAAAGCTAATAAGGTGTAGTGTAATTTTTTTGTGCACACTGCAATAAACAGAAACGAATTCTGAAAGGGTATTCATGATACTGCAGAGATGATTTTGGAGAAGATTTTAGTAGCTGTTTGTTGCAGCTCAGGACGGTAGTAACGGTTTTAAAAGTAGGGGTGTGGGGCAACCTTCCAAAAAAATCTGACAAGCATAGAAAAGAAAAAGGAAAAAGTAAACTATCCAAGCTCTAAAATCCTATTTCGTGGGGTGGGTTGGGGTGGAGTGGGGGATGGATTTTTCTTATTTTTTCCAAAATGCTTAAGTTTGTCAGTGCTCAACCATATAGCAACAAAAAGTAGGGGCAAACCAACATCTCGATGAAAATTTAGATATTAAACAACAGCAAAATACTAGACCCAGAAAAAAGGGGACAGGCTCGATTTTTACGTGACTGGGTTTTAATAACTGTATGTACATGTAGCAATTTTGTACCGATTTATTTTGATAAAATCAAGCAATATATTTTTGTAGGTTAGAAAATTAATCTCTAAGCATTCTTGCAAAGCATTCAAATGATTAGCAATGATGAATTTGAGCCATTTTAAAATGCAAAGCACTAGAATACCTTATAGATAATTATTTAAAAATTGATATTAATATATATAAGCATTTTCAACCGAACCCTGTAAGTAAAACAGAGAGATGATTACTGTTTACAACGAACTCAGTTTTTGTTTTACAACTAAATAAAGCTACAAACAAAATGAATAAATAGAACTGAATTAAAGTTACATTACTCTTTCTCTTTATAAATTTATTTTCTGATAACTCTTTTATGTACATGTACGAAAAAAGCAGAAATCTAGAACATCTAATAATTTTGGTACATTGTGTTAAGGTATGCTTTTTTTAAATTACAAAAAAAATCAAATAGCTGGGATCGCTTTTAATACAGCCGCATTTCAACACTTAATAAAAAATTTCCACTTGATTTATCAAGACGGTAATTTCTTTTCTTTATTCGTAATCGGAAGGCCTTGAGTTCAAATCTCGGCCGCGACTGACCTAAGTCGATAAAAAATAGGTAGCATCTGTTCCTTCACCAGGCGCTCAGCACTTTGAAGTGAAAGTTGCGGGTCCTTTGGATGAGACCTTAAAAACCGAGGCCCCGTATCACGGCAGGCGTTGGCACGATAAAGATCCCTCACTGCTCAATGGTTCTGAGTGCCGAGTAAAGGTTTAAATCTGAAACCCTTCAAATTATGACTATGGTGACGTCTCTATAAGAGTGAAAAATTCTCGAATGGGACGTAAAACAACATACACTCAATCAATCTTAATTCCCTCTATTCCTTTATCTTTTCTCTGAAATAATAATAATACATTCATTCTTGCAGAATTTCACTCTTTCTATCAAAGGTCATATAACAACTTTATCATCGACAAACTGATGTGTTTATTAATTGCAAGAGACGAAGCTTTATGGTAAAACATATAATGAATACAGGATTTCTATAGCTAGTTACATGTAATTGTACAGGAATAAAGCACACATCAGAGCGATGAAGTACGTGATGGCTAAGACGCGTGCTATAAAATCAAAAAAATTATATACTTTATACTAGTCAATATATGATAATAGAAAAACAAACAATGTCGATCTTTAATGTCAAAAGTTTTTCCGATTAAGAAAAGAAATAACAGCATATGAAAAGGTGGTCGTAAGAAAATCAAGATATTGACAAGATGATATTGACAATATGATCTGAGGGGATAAAATGCACAGGACGGTATAGGAATCCATGATATGATTTAAATAAAAGAAAATTATGAAAAAAGGAAAAATGAAAAGTTGGAAAAAAATGAATGATTTGACACAATCACAGAAATCAATTCCAGGATTCCCGATTTTTCTATTTTGCTTCAGATTTAGGGTGTCCAAAACCAAGAAGCGGGCAGGTGTTCTACATAGGGATAAGATCTTGGAAAGACGTCATGTATTATGCTGCAAGGCTTGTGACGAGTCATACCTTGTAGTTCGGACACTGATAAAGATGTACTCGATAAGAATTGACAAAAGAAGTCATAACAGGGAAGGTAAATATATAAGATTACTGAATCACTATTAGAGATGGAGCAGAACGAAAAATAAAATCTTAGTGCTAACCTTTTTTGATAGAGAAGCAATCTTTAATTTCCAAATCAGAACACACAACTCAAAGTCACAGACCAATTCAATTATCAGCTAGAATCATTATAAGCATAATCAAACACACTATACCTTCAAATTATCTCACGTCAGTTGCACAGATGACATGATGACAAACCAAAAAATAACTTTGCAAAGATACAAACTTCCCGTAGGAAGTAACAGACATGTACATGTAACCCTTTTGTTGTTTCACCAAAATATCAATAGTTCTGAGAAAAAAAATTAAACATTTATTCTGAAGAAACGTGTTTTTTTTTCTCAAAGTGTAAAGTCAAGGTCACATGTTTGCATATTATCGTGCCTAATGGTAAAAATCTACCCTTATAAAATGTTAGATAACAGGCTACATTTGATTTTGTAAGAGGAAAAAAAATCTTAAAAAAAATTGGATTAAGAAACCAAGATTAAAACAAATACTAATAAGCATGTAAATATCAAGGCCATTACTATTATCACAGTTAGTTAACGTACTCGAATTTATTCAGCTAAAAGCATATTTTGAAATTTACTACAGTCACTCACACATCTTCATTTATTAATTATTTTTCTAAAATTAAACATGGATAACTGATGTGTTTCCGTATCGACCAAGTGTGTAAAACTCATGAGGAAGAACATATTTTTTAAAGGAAACATATTTTGACTTGATCAAATCAGTGATACAATATGACTTCATAGTAGACGAGATGATGTCAATTTTAGAACACAAGTTTTCTTAAGATTGGTATTTAAAGATCAAATCAAACTCCTGAAAATGAATAGAAATATGCAAATATTAACAAAAATAAAATGTATCTATTTGTTATGCTGTATCTGACTTGGATTGATAACGACCAATGACGTCATAACTGTTCAACAAAAAACTTGATCATGATATATATCGAGAAAATTGGTAAAACGGCACGTAAAAAGATACCTGAAAGGGGGTTTAGAAATTCTCTCCGTGAATATTGTGTGTGATTCATATGGCTTTAAAATTTGTTAAACCGGCATGCTGATTTATTTTCATCGATCGATTTATTGAAACTGAACAGTCAGCTATTTATATCTCGGTCGGCCTTTCCTCTGTCATTCGTGATAAAATAATGGCAGAGAACAACACTAAGCCGGATACTTCAAAACATAATATTTGTACTATTCGAAAGCTTAGCTTGCGTTCTATAATACATGAACTTGGAAGGTGCTGCTAAAATTGTGAGGTAAACATGGTTTGAAGAAATATCTCGGGTTATATACTGAAACGCAAAAGAAACGCACCATCATATTTAAGGAGGAAATATTACATAAAGGATATAATTTTGTATCTAAAAAGTAAGAACATCTTCAACTTGTTCAATTTTGTAAATATCGGTAATATAAAGGTTGAATGATTTTCATACCATTACCGGAAGTTAAGTTTGAGTCTGCTTAACAAAAATCAAAAATTGCATGTTTAACAAAACATTTGGCAATAATATGGGATTTTAAGGATTTTTATCTGTTCATCATAAGTAATGCACCAATGTTCCGAAAAATAAATTCCCCTTTCTTTTCTGTAAGCGATGCCAAGGCTTCCTGAAAATGACTTAAGTGCGCATTTTCATTGCCCTGGCTGGAACGCAGCTATGTTAAGGTATGACACTCGTCAGCCTTTTAGAAAATTTCAGTCAGAACCTCTTACTTAAAAACTATTTATTACAATTCAATCTTTATAACATATTTAAATTAAACAATGTAAAATGTTCAACATCCAATTAAAAAACTGCTCAAAAATTCACAAAGAAGCAAGATTTATAAGGGACTATTTCTTGTGGTGGAAGGATATTTAGCAGAAAATTCTACAAATCTACACATTTATTAAATTTAATATCTTCGAACTTTAGCCTCACATACTTTTACTCAGAGAATATTTTCCGTTATGCTATGCCTGGAATATTAAATATAGGTCTCAATTTATATTTTTATAACAAAATTTACACCTTCGCTCAACAAACTTTGCCAAGAAATGAAGATATATTAAGGAAATCGAGATAAAATTTATACAGTTTTTTGCCAGAAAATCGCATATTTTGACCAATATTTTAAAATTTACATCACTGACCCCAACTTTTTCTTTCATTATTTTAAACTACTCGATACTTTTGACCAATCAGCACTTAAGTCGTAAAAAGTTTGATACAAGAAAATATTCTATTGCCTATTTAGATTTTTAATACCCCAAATATGAGACTTTTTTAGTGCAAAAAGGTCACACAATAATTTACGCCCATTAATTTGCATGATTTGTTCAATGATAAATATTATTCAAACTATTTTACGTAAAATAAGATTATGTTTATTGTCATGGTTACATCTGATAAAATATGATAACGGTTAAAGTGATTAACCAAAGAGTTACAATTTAAGTGCAAAAAGGTCAACTTAATTGTACCGTAGCTCAGTTAGATGCACACTGACCCCCGATTTTCTCTGCGATTTTGAGTCATACTATATGAGTACTTATCCAAAATATACTTCTCAAAAAATCCTTGATATAACAAATTTCACGAGTGACATACCTTAAGGCTTCCCGAAGCTTTAAAATGCAATCAAAACATAATATTTCATTGCGATGTCTGTTTTGGTTTAAATTTATAAGTATTGTACTCAAGTACTTCCAATTTATCTAGAGGGTTCCCTCGGCTATATATTAACATATTTGTTATGATATCACATAACTTGGTTGATCACGTG